CTCATTCTCTCTTAATTCTCACGACAGCCTTGAAAGGCAGTGTTGCCATTTCACAGATGAGAAGATCAAGGTTCAAAGAGGTTAAACAATTTGCCCAGCTGATAAGTAGTAGAGCCTGGCTTTGAATTCAGGTCTGCATCTCCAAAGCCAATAATACTCTTTGCTCTGTGCTCCCCAGTACCACGGGAAATGGAGAACAAACTGAATGTTTTCTCCTTTGCTTTTCAATGAGATCTTCTGAGCATCTGGAGTTGATTCCACTGGCGGCTGTGAGGTTACTGCCAGGCTAAATTGCCCAGAAGGCAGCAGGCAGGGTGCCTGGGTAGTTTGTAGCTGGAGAGGCCTCTGCTCTCGGCATAGATGCCCAGATTCCGGGATGCCTGGAGCAGCTGATTCATCAACACCTTTGAAGTCTGGTGCCAGTCTCACAAAGACAAATTAATTTCTCTTGCGTCTCAGCCTCTGGTGGCTTCCACACTCCTGGTGCTTTCATCTGGAAAGAAACTCTCATTCCTGGTTTTTCTCCACTCCACATATTCCTGTAATTGTTGTTGTTAGGTGTCGTTCAGTCAGTTTCGACTCATAGCGACTCCATGGCACAGAGTAGAACTGCCCCACAGCGTTTTCTAGGCTGTAGTCTTTACGAGAAGGAGCCCTGGTGGCCCAATGGTTAAGCGTATGGCTGCTAACCGAAAGGTTTGAACCAATCAGAGGCTCTGCAGGAGAAAAGACCAGGCAATCTGCTTCCGTAAACATTACAGCCTAGGAAACCCTGTGGGGCAGTTCTACTCTGTCCTATAAGGTCCTTATGAATTGGAATTGACTTGACAACACATAACAATAACAACAACAATCTTTGCAGGAGCAGATCACCAGGGCTTTCTCCCTTGGAACTGCTTGGTAGGTTCTAACTGCAAACCTTAGTGTTACCAGCTGAGTGCTTTAATTGTTACGCCACCCGGGCTTCTTTGCAGATTCCTGTTGTTATTATGTACCGTGGAGTTGATTCCGATGCATAGCAACTCGATAGGACAGAGTAGAACTGCCCCATAGGGTTTCTAAGGCTGTAATCTTTTGGAAGCAGATGGCCACATCTTTCTTCTATGGAGCAACTGGTAGGTTTGAACCACTGACCTTTTGGTTAGCTGCCGAGTGTTTAACCACTGTGCCACAGATTCCTAGAGCTGTAGAAATCTTTGGCGACTTATCTGTGTAGGAGAGGAGAGGTGGTAGTAAACTCAGTTCACAAGCATAAGTCATTGTGCTTGGTTGTGTAATGGGTGGTAGTGAGGGCAGAGAATATCTGTGTCTCTGTACTGAAGGTTCAGTTAATGAGTCTCCCAGGGTTGATAGCGCTTTTATCACTTAAGTTAGGTAAATCCTACAACCACCACTCGTCTGTCAATTTGTCCTACTGTGGTGGCTTGTGTGTTGCTGTGATGCTGGAAGCTATGCCCCCACTATTTCGAATACCAGCAGGGTCACCCATGGTGGATAGGTTTCAGCAGAACTTTCAGACTAAGACAGACTAGGAAGAAAGGCCTGGTGATCTTCTTTAGAAAATCAGACAATGAAAACCTTTTTACCAGTGAGCATGAAGATGGCACTAGACTGTTCCGTTGTACATGAAAAGTTGCCGTGAGTTGGAAGCAGATCGCCAGATCTTTTCTCCTGTGGAGCCACTGGTGGGTTTGAACTGCCAACCTTTTGGTTAGTAGCCATATACTTAACCATTGTGCCACGAGGGCTTCTTCCCATAAAGATTACAGCCTAGAAAACCCTGTGGGGCAGTTACTCTGTCCCGTGGAGTCACTATGAGTCGAAATCGACTAAACGAAACCTAATAACAATTACAGGGATATGTGGAGGGGAGAAAGACTGGGACCCAGAGTCTCTTTCTAAATGGCATCCGACTGGATGGCAACTAACAACAGCAACAAAATCCTACAAGGCTAGTAACCAAACCTAAGCTCGGGGCACTTTTTATTTTATTTATTTACTCTTCCGAGCTAGGGCTATCTTTATATGTAAAACCTCACAAAAGCATTAAAGTCATAGGTTAAAGGAATTAACTTTGTGGAAAAGAATGAAGTGATGTGAAATCAAGACCGTTGTGGAAAATCGGGGCATGTTGTCGTGGTAAAGGAGCCCTGGTGGCGCAGTGGTTAAGCACTTGGCTGCTAACTAATATGTCGGCGATTGGAACCCATCAGCCGATCCGCAGGGAAGAGAGATGGTTGTCTGCCTCCGTAAAGATTACAGCCTTGGGAACACTATGGGATAGTTCTCCTCTGTCCTATAGGGTCTCTGTGAGTTAGAATCGACTCAACGGCAATGGGTTTTTTGATGTTGGTTGTTGTGGTACTTTTCAGACACTTCAGGGACATTTGAAAACACAGCCCCAAGAAGGACAATTTTGAGCCTTCCGTAGTATTGACATTTCCGAGTACATTTTGAGGCAAACAGTAGGAATGTGTGTATGTACCTGCATGGGGGTTGGGGAGGTGTGGGACCCAGATTCATGGGCACCTTTGATTTTCTGAAGTGATGGCACAGTGGTTAAAATACTTGACTGCTAACTGAAAGGTCGGTGGTTTGAACCCACCAGCTGCTCTGCAGAAGAAAGATGTGGCAGTCTGCTTCCTTAAAGATTACAGCCTTGGAAACCCCATGGGGCAGTTCTACTCTGTCCTATAGGGTCGCTACGAGTCGGAATCAACTTGACAGCAACGGGTTAAGTAAGACGTGGCTCAGCCAGCGTATCTAGTTCTAACCATCAGATTAGTAACTTCTCTTTCCATGGAGGATGAGAGGGCCGGGAGCTGGGATGTGGGAGGGGAGGGTGTGAGCTCAAGTAACTGACCATTGTGTTTTACTGTTGGCGGAAGTGGAAATGTGGGGGGAGATGAGCATGAAGATGGAAGAGGATGAGGCTCCCTCCCTTCCGTACTAGGAAATAGCATTTGCCACCGAAAATGCAGGGAAAGGACGGGCCGAAGAAAAGAAGGGACTAATGGAATAGAGTAATAGGGCTAAAAGCTCTCCGCTTGTCTTATCTGTTAATTCTCACAAACACTCAGTGGTATCGTTATCTCCATTTTAAAGATGGAAAGAGAGCAGCTAGCTCTAGCACACACGGAAATTGAGCCCAGGTCTGCTGATTCCTGAGCTCATCTCTTTCTGGGATCAAGGAAGCATTGCACAGCCTCTTACCAGCAGCTGCAGGAAGAAGCCAAGCCCGGAGCATTTACTTTGTGGAGAGAAGCTGCTCATTTTTAGCCCCTGAAGCCTAGCGTTCACCTGTTTACCGTTGACAGCCGCAACCAAGGTACTGGACAGTCCCCTGAGGTGGGTACGGAGGCAGATTTTGGCTGGTTCAGATGTGATGCCCATTTTGGCACCCCTGGCCACTTGACCCTGCAGAGTAGCCAGTCCTACAGAAAAAATATGGAAGGGTTTAGATTCCCTGCTCCCACCAGTGCTGGGATTGGGCAGGCAAGGCAGGAGTTTCTCAGAGAGTAGTGTGATGGAAATAGAAGATCGAAATGGGACAGATCCCTGTTCAAATCTCATCTTTACTACTCATGGCTGTTAGACCACAGGTGAGGACTCTCAGGTCTTCACCTATAAAGGCAGTCCAGTCCATTCTTGTCAAGTCAGTTCTGACTCATGGCAGTGCTGTGTGTGTCAGAGTAGAACTGTGCTCCATAGGGTTTTCCATGGCTGATTTTTCAGAGGTGGATCACCAGGCTTTTCTTCTGAGGCACCTCTGAATACTCTCAAACTTCCAACCTGTTCGTTAACAGCTAGGTGTGTTAACCGTTGCACCACCCAGGGACGCCTTAATTATATTCTGTTGTTGTTCGTTGCTGTCAAGTTAGTTCCGAATCATGGTGACCCCATGTGTTACAGAGTTAGAACTGCTCCATGGGGTTTTATAACCTTAATGGAAGCAGATCACCAGGACTTTTCTTCCAAGACGCTTCTAGGTAGGTTCGAACCAACCTTCCAGTTAACAGCTGAATGCGTTAACCATTTGCACCACCAAAGGACTTCTTTACTATAAACTGTTGTTGTTAGGTGCCCTCAAATTGGTTTTTGACTCACAGTGACCCCGTGTGACAGAAAACTGCCCCATAGGGTTTTCTAGGCTGTATTCTTTGCAGAAGCACATCACCAGGTCTTTTTCCTGCTGAGTGGCTGGGTGGGTTCGAACCCCCAGTCATTCGGATAGCAGCTGAGTGCTAACTATTGCACCACCAGGGCTCCCTGACTATAAACTAGGGGTTCATAGTACCCATCTTTGCAGAGCATGCATATATAGTACCTCGGACAATGTCTTCTACACAGTAAACTACCAGAATTCCTGCGTAGGCTGAGTCCACTTCTCACATAATGCTTCTCCATGCCAGGTTGATATCTGTCTGTAGGATGTGATCTCCGCCTGGAAGTAGCAACTGTGGATCTGGGATCTCATTGCCAGGTATGTCTGTTAAATGCAAACGTGGTGAGCATCCCTGCAAAGGAAAGGGGCAGAGCTTGAAGCAGGAATATCTGGGCGGAAGGCTATGTGACCTAGTCTGGAAGAGCTTTTATTGAGTACCTACTGTGTGCCAGGCAGTTTGTTGGTCCTTTATTACCTTGTCTGAGGTATGTTCACAGTTACCTTGGGATTGATATCAGCATTTTAAGAGGATTCTTTCAAATCATCACGTCATTTCTTCTTGGGATTTTCTCTGGACCTCTAGGCAGACATGATGTCACCCTTCTCTGACTTTATAGAATATTCTATATGTAATGTATTATAACACTTAACACAGTGGATTGTGATTTTTCTATTCATTAGACAAGTTTTTTTCAAGAGAAGTTTTATTTTGAGAAATTTCAAATATACACAGATGTTGAGAGAATAGTATAATGAAATTCCAAATATGCAGTACATAGATTTAAGAACTATTAACATTTTGCAGTATTCACTTAATCTATTTTTCTGAATACAGTAATTGCACCATGACATTCACCCCCAAATCCTTCAGTTTCCATCTAAAAAAAGGTAAGGACTTCCTTTTACGTGACCACTGTTACACTTCATGAAATTACCAACAATCCCTTAATATCCTCTAATACCAAGTTTATATTCAAGTATTTCTACTTGTCCCCAAAATGTCCGTTACAGTTGGTTTGTTTGAACAAGGATCAAATAAAATCTGTGCATTGAATTTGGGGTTTACATCTCTTAAGTTTCTTTGAATCTAGAACAGCTTCCATACCCCACTTTTTTCTTCTTTCATGACACTGACTTGTTGAAAATGCTGGATTGGTTGTCCTATAGAATGTCCTACCTAAGAGAAGAAGCTTGCAAATTTATTTAAAATTTTTTAAATTCAGTGTTTATTGTCAGACAATTGTAGATTCACATGCAGTTGTAGGAAATAATACAGAGTTATCCTGTGTATACCTTGCCCAATTTTTGTTAATGGTAACAACTTGGAAAATTATAGTAGAATGTTACAACCAACATATTGACGTTGATACAGCCAAGATGCATAACATTTCCATCACCACAAGGATCCCTCCTTTTGCCCTTTTAGCCTTATCCACTTGCCTCCAGGCTTCTTACCCTCCTTAACCTCTAGCAACGGACAGTCTGTCCTCCCTTTCTATAATTTTGTTTTTAGAAGATTTGAAGAAAAAACTAATCATTCTTTTTCTCTGTCTTCCTGGACCAGTGGTTCTCCAAATTTACTCCCCAGGCCAGCAGCATCAACATTACCCAATAACTTGTTACAAATGCAGATTTTCAGGACACACTCCAGACCTACTGAATCAGAAATTCTGCACGTGCGAACCAGCAATTTGTTCTAACAAGCCCTTCCTATGATTCTGATGCATACTCAAGTTAGAAAAACACTGCCCTAGTCTACCGTTGGAGCCCTGGTGGCGCAGTGGTTATGAGCTTGGCTGCTAACCAAAAGGTTGGCAGTTTGAATCCACCAGCTACTCCTTGGAAACCCTATGGGGCAGTTCTGCTCTGTCCTGTAGGGTCGCTATGAGTCGATATTGACTCGACGGCAAAGAGTTTGGCTTTTTTGAGTCATTTGTTGCTATAAATTGACCTCTGAGCACTGCTTTTGCTGTGTCCCAAAGGTTCTGGTAGGATGTGTTTTCATTCTGATTTGATTCTGTGAATTTCTTTATTCAGTCCTTAATTTCTTCTATAACCCAGTAGTTTTTGAGGAAGGTGTTGTTCAGTTTCCATGTGTTTGATTTTTTTTCCTTTTTCTGTTATTGATTTCTACTTTTATGGCTTTATGGTCAGAAAAGATGCTTTGTAATATTTCGATGCTTTGGATTCTGTTAAGGCTTGCTTTGTGGCCTAATATGTGGTCTTTTCTGGAGAATGTTCCATGTGCTTTGGAAAAGAAAGTATACTTGGCTGCTGTTGGGTGGAGTGTTCTGTATATGTCTATGAGATCAGGTTGGCTAATTGTGGCATTTAAGTATTCCATGTCTTTATTGAGCTTCTTTCTAGATGTTCTGTCCTTCACCAAAAGTGGTGTGTTGAAGTCCCCTACTATTATTGTGGAGCTGTCTGTTTCTCTTTTCAATACTGTTAGAGTTTTTTTTTTTTTATGAATTTTGGAGCCTTGGCCTTGGGTGCATAAATAGTTATTGTAGTTATGTCCTCCTGGTGTATTGAGCCTTTGATCATTATATAGTGTCCTTCCTTATGCTTTGTGATGGATTTTACTTTAAAGTGTATTTTGTCAGAGATTAGTATTGCCACTCCTGCTCTTTTTTGAGTGTTGTTTGCTAGATGTATTTTTTTCCATCCTTTGAGTTTTAGTTTGTTTGTGTCTTTAAGTCTAAGGTGTGTCTCTTGTAGGCAGCATATAGACAGATGGCGTTTTTTATTCATTCTGCCACTCTCCGTCTCTTTATTGGTGCATTTAGTCCACTTAACATGCAGCGTAATTATTGATAGGTATGAGTTTAGTGCTGTCATTTTGATGTCTTTTTTTGTGTGTTGTTCACAGTTTCTTTGTTCCCCCTTGATTTTCTGTGCTGAGTCGTTTTTCTTTATGTATTTTCTTTTCATCTTTTTCATTGTTGTTGATTTTATATTTGCTGAGTCTTTATGTTTTTCTTGTTTTTTATTTTGATGTGTAGGATTGTTAGTGTCCTTTGTGGATACCTTAATATTTACCTCTGTTTTTCTAAGTTTAAACCAATGTCTTATTTCTTTATATTGCCTTGAATTCCTCTCCATATGAAAGATCTATGACTACATTATTTAGTCCCTCTTTTTTGTTTTCATGTTGTCTTCTTTTACATATTGATGTCTCTGTTTCCCTATTTTCAGTGTTTTAGCTTTGAATTATTTTTGTGACTTCCCTGTATGGGTTGATATCTGATCGTTCTGTTCTATGTTCTAGTTTTGAGTTGTTGTCGGATGTTACTGATTTTCTAACTGGAGGACTCCCTTTAGTATTTCTTGTAATTTTGTTTTTTATAAAGTCCCTAAACTTCTGTTTGTCTGGAAATGTGCTAATTTTGCCATCATATTTGAGAGACAGTTTTGCTGGATATATAATTCTTGGCTGGCAATTTTTTTCCATTAAGGCTTTATATACGTCATCTCATTTCTTTCTTTCCTGCATGGTTTCTGCTGAGTAGTCTGAGCTTAGTCTTATTGACTCTCCTTTGTAAGTGACTTTTTGTTTATCCCTAGCTACTCTTATAATTCTCTCTTTCTCTTTGGTTTTGGCAAGTTTGATTATAATGTGTCTTGGTGACTTTCTTTTGGGATCTACCTTGTGTGAAATTCGATGAGCTTCTCTGATAGATGTCTTCTCATCTTTCACGATATCAGGGAAGTTTTCTGCCAACAAATCTTCAACAGTTCTCTCTGTATTTTCTGTTATTCCCCCCTATTCTGGTACTCCAATCTACTTTGTAGGTTATTCCTCATGATAGAGTCCCACATAAGTCTTCGAGTTTCTTCTTTTTTTAAAATTCTTTTATCTGCTTTTTCCTCAAATAAGTTGGTATCAAGTGCTTTATCTTCAATCTCACCAATTGTGACTTCCATTGCCTCGATTCTGCTCCTATGACTTTCTATTGAGTTGTCTAATTCTGAAATTTTATTGTTAATCTTCTGGATTTCTGATTGCTGTCTGTATGTATTCTTGCAGCCTGTTAAATTTGTCATTATGCTCTTGTAGAACCTTCTGAAGTTCCTCTATTGCTTTGTCTATGTTGACACACAATCTTAACTATTGTATCTGTAAATATAAGTAATAATGTGAGTCTTTTTGTAGGGTTCTTTTGAGTATTACCTAATCAGTTCAGTTGCTATCGAGTCGATTCTGAGTCATGGTGACCCCATGAGTGTCAGAGTAGAACCATGTTCCATAGGGTTTCAGTGGCTAATTTTTTGGACATAGACTTCCAGGCCTTTCTTCTGAGGTATCTCTGAGTGAACTTGAACAGCCAACATTTTGATTAGCAGTTGAGCATGTTAGCCATTTGCACCAGCCAGAGACTTTGCAATATAAAGTACTTGGCACAGTGGAGAACTTCCAATTAGCTATGATAATTAGTATTATCTCCATTTTATAGGACAGGAAACTGAGACTCAGAGACTTTGGCCAAGGAAAGAAGAAACTGATCTCCCTCCTGTGTTCAGAGTCAAAGCCTTAGGGTTTAGGGTTGAAAGTAATTGGCTTTGCCTTTAAGATTCATAGCTATCTTGAGTTTCATGCTCTGGAAGAGATCTGAAGAATTCCCTCCCCACCACCTGCAGCTACTGTTCCTGAGTCTTTTGGGTCATAATTTATCTATTGGATAGTAAAACATTTAGTGATCTCCATGATTTCTAAGATGGAAGCCATCAGTATTCTTTTGGTTATCAACAGCTATAAAACCCATCTCAAAGTTGCTTAAGCAATTATTGGTATTTATTTGGTCATGTAATAAAAGTTCAGGAACCCAGTTAGATATGGGTGCTCAAAAGATGTTGCAAGCCTGCTTTTTGTTTCTTATACAGTTAAACATACACTTACTGTGTAGCCCAGCAATTCCACTCCTATGTATTTACCCAGGAGAGTTGAAGACTTATGTCTGCACAAAGAAATACACACTAGTATTCATAGAAAGTTTATTCATAATAGCCCAAAGGTGGAAACACCCCACATGTCCATCAGCAGAAGAATGAATGAACAAACTGGTACATGCAAACAGTGGCATAATTCCCAGCAATCACAAGGAATGAATATTGATATGTGCAGAATCGCGGTTGAATCTCAAGAACATTATATTGAATGAAAGAAATCATACACTAAAGAGTATGTATTGTATGATTCCATTTATACAGTGAAACCTGTGAGAGCTGGAACTTGATGGGACTGCCTTGTTTTTCCGGGTCACACGAATTTTCCGTCTTTGACAGGGTGCAGTCTTACCCCTTTTCTGTTGCTCGTTTTAGTAGAAAATATTTGAGTTTTCCTTCTCTGACAGGTTTCCGCCTTACACGGTTTCCAGCTTTTGTAGGTTTTACTGTGTGAGATTCTAGAAAAGGCTAAACTATCATGACATAAATTAGACTAGTGGTTGCCTGGGGCTGGGGTGAGGTAACTGACTACAAATAGATGTGAGGGACCTTTCTAAAATGGTGAAAATGTTTTATCTATTGATTGTCATGGTGGTTACATGACTGTATATTTGTCAAAATTTATTAAATTGTACATTTAACATAGGTGCATTTTATTATATGTAAATTATACCCAACAAAGTTTATTTAAAAGAATCTACTTCTATCTGTAGGCTCTTCTTACCTCTGTGTGGCTTCACTGTCAGGGAGGCCTTCCCTACTTGGGGGCAGAGACAGTCTGTAAGCAGCTTATGTTCCTCAGCACCTTATACCCTTCAGCTCAGCAACCTCAACAGAAAGAGAGCTTTTCCTTCCTATATAGACCTTCCCCAGATAGAACATTGCTGGTCTCTTTCGGACCTCTCACCCTCCAGAATTAATTAGATCCGCCTCTGTCTTCATACTTTTGTGATTTCTGCCAGTATGAGGTAGTAGAAGGACAGTGGTATTGAAGTTGGATGCATGTGGGTTCAAACCTGAGTTCTGCTTCTTCCTAGTTCCTTGACCCTTGGCAATTTATTTAAGCTCTCTGAGAGTCAGTTTCCTCATCTATGAAATGAGGATAATTACAGGATGTACCTCATGACATTGCTGTGAGGACTAAGTGAGATAATACATCAAGTGTTCAGCATAGTGCCCGGCACGCAGTGAGTGCTTAGATATTGCCATCTATTCTCTAGTCCCTGGGGGATGCAAACGGTTAATGTACTTGGCTGCTAACTGAAAGGTTGGAGGTTCGAGCACCTTGGAAGACAAGCCTGGCGATCTACTTCTGAAAAGTCTACCATAGAAAACCCTATGGACACAGTTCTACTCTGACACACATGGGGTTGCCAGAAGTCAGAATCTACTTATAGTAACTGGTATGGAAAAATTATTACAGGTAGTTCCCAAGTTACAAGGGGGTTCTGTTCTGGCAACTCCATCATAAGCTGGTTCTGATGTAAGTCAAATACTTCTTTTTTTTTTTAGTTTTCATTATTATTGCCTTTTATTATCAGTATCCTTATAAATCTGATCTTTGAACATCTGCGAGTGAAAATCTGAGAATGATAACATCAGCAAATTACAGAGTACAGCATTGTATGTAGTACATATTACCAATGATAAGATGTATCAAAAAAAAAAAAAAAAAAAAAAAAAAAACGACGGTAATAAGTGCGATTCACCGTAACTTGAATACGTCATTAGTCGGGGATGACCTGTACTATTTTTTATATTTTGAATGTTAAAAAACCTGAGTATTTACCTGTGAGCAGGTGTCCACATCCCCTTGGCACTTCCATTCCCATATACACTGATGGCATCCTTCTACAAGCCCCTCCCACTCTCGCTGTCCAAGGGCTTTCTCTGGCACGTTCTCCTGCATACCAGGTAGGCTTGAAGTGCTGGAGTGTGGATGCCTTTGGGAGTAGCCCTCAGCCAGTGATGGCTTCCCAGCTCTCTCATCCCTTGGCTGGGAACTCTGAAGCATGATTTGTAGCACCTCCCAGAAGTCCCCGGCAGGATTTAGCCCCACCTGCCCACTGCAGCAAGCTGCCCACTGACACTGGATTGCCTCACTTCCCTTCTCTGTCTCGCTTCCCCACTCCGTTTTTTCTGAGGTCACCTTCCAAATAAACTATTTGCCCTCCAACTTTACTTCAGAGCTAGCTTCTGAGGGAACCCATCTTGAGCTCCAGGTCACATGGGCGAGCTGAAACGTCACGTTTTTCTGCTCTCGGCTAGAATTACAGCCACATAGTGTAGTGCAGTATACTTATCTCCTGAGGACCAGAGGCACTGACTGGCAGCTCTTTAAAGCTTTGATGAGTAAAATATAGTGGGAAAGAATTAATTCTTCCTTAACAAATGCAGTTTGCTGGGTAGGCAGACTCTATAAAAACATTTATAGGAGAGGAATACAATGGAGTGGGAGGTGGGATCCCAAAAGGCATCCTCGTGGAAAAAAGGGAGAGAGCGGAGTTCTCAGTAAATAGTGATTGAGTGATTGATTAGCCTGGTCCCTAGCACAGGGCTATGACTCAGTGTCAGTGACAGTGAGCCATGGGTTTATGGGTAGACAAGTGACTTTACAGAACTGGCAGGCTTGGAAGTCTCAGCTCACCCTTCCTGGCTATTCCTGTCAGCTCTGTTGTACTGATGGAGAGAGGCTAGTTTGAGTAAACAGTGGCTAAGCTGTGTCCTTCTAGGCACCATGGTGACAATGGATTTCACTCCTGGCCTGTTGGGAAAGGACTTTGCTAGGGGTCCACAGTCCCAGACTTGTAACCCTCTTCTGCCACTGCCTTTCTGTGTGACCTTGGTGAGTCCCTTGCTCTCTCTGACCCTCAGTTGACTTTTCTGCCAAATGGAGAGGGTTGGATGAGGATCCCCCAGTTTATTCTTGCTTTCTGAGCCGTATGAGCTCTGTTTATTGCCTTGTCAATAGTGTATCCGGCAAGTGCACCTTCTCCATGAAGTGGGTGGGCAACAAATAGAAATTACCCCATTTTACAGTAGGAATACCTGAGGTCGAGTGAGTGCACTGGTGCAGTGATTATTTACTGTGCCAAGTGGTTGATTTCAGGTCAGACTTGACAAGGAGATGGCCAAGGGTAAGGCAATGTATGCAGACATCACAAGGAACTTGGGTGGAAAGCATGCGGTTTTAGAGTCTGGCAGATTTGGGTTTGAATCTTAGCTCTGCCACTCATTGGCTCTCTGAGCCTCAATTTCTTCATTTTTAAGCCCGTTGTTGTCAATTCTGACTCATGGCAACCCTAGAGGTCAGAATAGAACTGCCCCATAGGGTTTCCTAGGTTATAATCTTCATGGAAGCAGATCGCCAAGTCTTTTCCTCTGCAGAGTGGCTGGTGGGTTCAAACTGCTGACCTTCCAGTTAGCAGCTGAGTACTTAACCACAGGGCCAACAGGGCTCCTTTCTTCATTTTTAAAATGGGAAAAATAATACAAAGTTAGGCTCATACGATACAGTCAGTTCTGTAGCAACACTTGTTCTGAAAACGTGAATCTGTACCAGCGAGATTGAAATATTAGGCAACAATTTGAGTATAACATGAATTTTCCATTTGCTTATGTGCAGTTTCATCTGCGAGAAATAATAGGTGAACACAGAAACCAGCCCTCAGCTGAACGAGCCACGCAGGAGTACAGAAAACACACATACGCGCAACCATCAACATCTACCAGCTACCTCGGTTATTAGTCATCTGGCCTTACAACTTTTTGTCTGACTTTCACTACATAGCTCATAAGCTGTATTCCTTCTGATACCACTTCCACAAGCCAACTCCAGGTATTTTTCAAGATTAAGTACCGTATTTACTGTAGTATTTATGTATTAACCATTTAACATGTGTAAAACTGTGCTATTTTTATTAGGTTCCTTTTTTTTTTTGAGGTGTCACTGACAAAGTTTTTGAGCGTTGGAACGCTGACCCCATTTTTCCATAAATCCTTCTGTTTTTATTTCATGATTTTACATGGTGTAGTGAGTTTTAGGAATGCATTGTTGCCCTTTAGAACTCACTGTAGAATGAATTAAAGTGCTAGCTCAGTACCTAGTGCAGAGTAAATATTAGTGTGTCCCATCCTCACACTTTTCATCCTCATGTGATATAAAGGGTCCTGAATTATTATGACTCTTGATTATTCGTATGAGAAACTACTCAGGCTCCAGAGGTAGAAAGATTTATTAGAAGTCTAGAACATTGATATGCATGCGAAAGCTGGACAATGAAAAAGGAAGACAGAAGAAGAATACATGCATTCAAATAGTGGTGTTGGCAAAGGTTATTGGGTATACTGCGTTCTGCCAAAAGAACAGACAAATCAATCTTAGAAGAAATACAAACCAGAATGCCCTTTACCAGTGAAGATGGCGAGACTCCGTCTCGCCTACTTTGGACACGTCATCAGAAGACACCAATCACTAGAAAAGGACATCATGTTTGGTAAAGTCCGTAGAAAGGAGGGACACCTTCAGTGAGATAGATTAACACAATTGCTGCAACAATGGACTCAAACATTATAGTGATCATGAAGATGGCGCAAGACTGGGCAACACTTAGTTCTGTTATGTATAAGGTTGTCATGAGTTGGAGCCAACTTGACAGCAGCTAACAGTAACAACATGCAGATTTGTCTTATGGACAGGAATGTAAATTGGTTGTAAGAAACAGAAAACCCAACTCACGCTTTCTAAGACAAAAAGAGAATTTATTATTGGCTTGTGTAACTAAAAAGTTTCCTTCAGTCACAGCTGGATCCAGGAACTCAAGCAATGGGATTTCACCAGGACTTAGTTTCCATCTGTCAGCCCTGCCTTTGGCTGTATTGGCTCTATTTTCAGGCAGGCTTTCTCCTGATGGTGGTGGCAAGATGGTGGCCAGTAATTGCTGCCTCACGTGCACACAGCTTCAAATCTAGTGGAAGAAGTGAGGGTGCTTTTTCTTGTAGTCTCATCTGCTTAAATCCTGGGATTAAATGAGATTGACCCTAACTGGATCATGTTCTCATCTCTGAAATTATAATTATGGCCAAGGGATGCGATGCTCTTATTGGCTAGGCTTGGGTGACATACACACCTTTGGGATTTGGGGGGTGGTCATCTCTTAACGGTGGTGTTCTCTGAAGGAAATTCAAAGTATGGTGGATAGGTTTCAGCAGAGCTTCCAGATTAAGACAGACTAGAAAGAAAGTCTTGGCAGTCTACTTCTGAAAGTTAGCTATTGAAAACCCAATGGATCACAACACAATATTGTCCACCTCACTTGCATTGGACGCATCATCAGGAGGGATTGATCGCTAGAGGAGGACACCATGTTTGGTGAAGTAGAGGGCCAGTGAGGGCGAGGCAGACCCTTGGTGAGATGGATTGGCACAGTGGCTGCAATGATGGACTTGAATATACTGGCGATTGTGAGGATAATGCAGGAGTGGGCAACGTTTAGTTCAGCGTTATATATAAGGTCTCCATAAGCCACAGTTGACTTCAGGGCAGCTAACGACAACAGTACCTAAATAAGGAGCAGTGAATGCTGGTCAAGCAAAAACAACAAAGTTCTGCTACAAGATGCTACCCAAACCAGGGATTTTGAAACCATCATTCTCTTTCTTTATCTATGCTTTATACTTTTCTTTTTCTGAAGTTTTTATTTCTCTTCTTCTCTGATACACATGGTCTTCATAACGGGTAGTAAACTGCCAGCTTCACAGTTCCCAAACTACTAAAGGACCAGCCATCGGAAGAGAGTGAATATCTCCATTCCAAATTTTAAATGAAACGTTCTAACCTAGCTTGGATCAAGGGCCCCTCAACTAAGAAGACTCAGACATGGGGGTGGTGGTGTCATGTTGTACAAATAGATTGCCAGGGGCCCACTGTTATGTCTGTGGGTGAGGGCAAATAGGAATAGTCATTGTAAGTGACCAGACCACCCAGAATGTGTCCATAGTAAGGCAGGTCTTCTCGACTTGCTCTCATTCACCTTTACTGTTTTCAGGATCAGCATCCAAGATGGCTTAGCCTATGGCTAATAAAATAAAACACCAGTTGCTGTTGAGTTGACTCCGACTGATGGTGATCCCATATGTGTTAGAGTAGAACTGTGCTCCGTAGGGTTTTCAATGGCTGTGATCTTTCGGAAGTAGATCACCAGGCCTTTCTTCTGAGGTGCCTCTGGGTGGATTCAAACTGCCAACCTTTCAGTTAGTTAGTAGCTGAGCACTTAAGCATTTGCACTACCCGGGGACTCTGATACAGTAAAGGAAGCGTGATAAGATACCTCCATTGGGGCCAGAGTCTTCACCTCCTCCCAGTAGAGAAATAGTCCACTTGGCTCCTTAAATCTAGCTCATTTAGCAGACTAGAGGGGAACACAGAGGAATGGAGTTGATGGTGGGGAGGTGAGGGATGGGGGAGAGTGAGCACCAACTAGCACCTGCTTCTAAATGACCCAAGCTCTCAGCTTCTGTTTCACCTCCTGGCCTTGCTAGACTTGCTAATGAGTAGCGATGCTGACTCACATCTTAGAGAAGCCAGGTCACTGGGGTGTTCTTTTTCCTGGGATGAGGGGAAACTGGATCGTAGATACTCAGTCTCAGTTCAGAATTAGATATGAGAGCAGGAAGTAATTTAAATTTATCTTTTCAGGGAGCTTGGAGATTGTTTTATGTAGCAGATTGTAACGCTAGATCCAATTCTGCACCCCTCCCTGTATGCACCCTGTTTTCCAAGTGACTGTGTAGTTTCTGTCACCAAAGAGATAGAGTCTTTTTCCCCACTTCCTAAATTTGGTCTGGTTTTATGATTTGCTTTGACTTAATAGAATATGGTAGAAGTGATGATGTGCCAGTTCTGAGCCTAGAGCTGAAGAGCCCTTGTGTATTTCAATTTCCTCTCTTGCCCCTCTGCCCTTGCCAAAAGAACATGCCCAGGCTAGCCTGCTGGCAGATGCGAGACATGTGAATCAGAGCCAATCACCGAGTTACCCCACATATTGAGTATCTACTATGCAACAGATAACCTTACAGCTTCTGTCTTCCTCAACAGCATTTTCAGGTAGGTTGCATTCATTCTATTTTTGGAGATAACTGAGATAAGAGTTATAGAGGTTCAGTGACTTAATGTGAGGTCAACCAGAGCTAATAAGGAGTTGGTTTGAGATAACAAGACAGGTCTTTCCCACTGTACTAAGCTGCCTGTCAGTCTGTGGTATATATATTAAAGTGTCCACACCCATGTTGACAATAGCTGTTAGTTCAAAGTGCTCCATAATTCAGAGTCAAGGGGACATTATCCTGGCTTATGTTACCCTGAGGTTATGTCTTTCTGTAACTTCCAGCTTTAATAACTTCTACCATAAAGGTCTTGGATTTGTTAATATTATTAACAACAGATTTAAAGGAGAACTATGAACGGTTCATTAACACATGAAAAGATGCTCAACATCATTAGTCATCAGGGAAATACAAATTAAAACCACAACAAGAAATCACCCATTAAATGGCTAAGGTTAAAAAGACGAACAATATCAAGTGTTGGTCAAAATGTGGAGCAAATGGAGTTTTCATACATTGCTTGTGTAAAATGGTACAGATGAAAAGAGTTTGGCATTTTTAGAATAAAATTAAACCTACCCTTAACATATGAATCAACAATTCCACCCTGAGGTATTTACCTAAGAGAAATGAATGTTCACACAAAGACTTGTGCACTAATGTTTATAACATCTTTATTCATAACAGTCCTAAACTGGAAACAACCCAAAAGACCATCTATAGGTGAATGGATAAACAAATTGTGGGCTGTTACTTAATTATAAAATGAGTAAGCTACAGATAACAACAATATGGATGAACTTAAAAAAAATACACATACACGCACATATATACATACTGAAAGACCCAAAACTCAGTTGTTGTCAAGTCACTTCCAACTCAGGGTGACCTCATGGATATCAGAATAGAACTGTACTCCATATGGTTTTCAATGACTGATTTTTCAGAAGCAGATCACCAGACTTTTCTTCCAAGAATCCTCTGGGTAGACGAACCTCCAAGCTTTTGGTTAGCAGCCCAGTGCATTAAACATTTGCACCATCCAGGGGCTCCATGCTAAAAGAAGCCAGATATAAAAGAGTACATATCACATAATTTCATTTATACGAAGTCTAGAAATAACAAATCAAATGTATAGTGACAGAAGGTAAATCATTGGTTTTCTGGGGCCAGGGGAGATTAATTAAGATGGGACCCAAGGGAAATTTTGGGGGGTGATAAAGATGGTTTTATATCATGATGGTGGTTACACTGGTATGTAAATTTGTCAAAAGTCATCAAATTGTATATTTATAATGAGTGCATTCCATTGCTTATAAATCTTACATCAATAAGGTTGATTTTCAAAGACTTAAAATTATGTCTTCTGAAAGTCACTCATTTAAGAATTCCTGGGAGATGATGGGTGGGCTGGAATGATCAGCTTCCCAGAAGCTGGAGGAAAAAAGCCTCCAACAGGCAAAGATGATTCAGCACCAAGGACAGCACATCAGTAGTAAATGAGATCCTGCATGTAAAGCAGTTAGCACAGTACCTAGCAACAGAGCAGGCAGTGACTAAAAGACACCTCAAAAAATCCTTTAAGGAATGCCTGTTGTTGTTGGGTGCCACTGAGTTGATTCATACTCATCACGACTGCACGTGCAGAGTAGAACTACCCAGTAGGGTTTCCTAGGCTGTAATCTTTACAGAAGAAGATCGCCAGGCCATTCTCCTGCAGAGGCGCTGCATGGGTTCGAACTGCCAACCTTTTTGGTTAGCAGTGGAGCACTTAACCATTTGTGCCACCAAGGTACCTACTAGGTGCCAAATATCATGTAAGGCCTTGTTTTATGTGCATTATCTCATTTTATTCACACTAATCACTCATACGTTGCGGACTATGATTATTTTCATTTTGCAGTTGAGAAATCAGGCTTTTTCCTTAATGCAGTTTTATAAGGAAAAGGGGAGCAGGGAACTTAAAAAAAAAAAAAAAAAAAAGAGAAAACACAAACATAAAGGGGAAGGGCATTCCTGCCTCTCTGGTGTAATTGGGTTCTGCTCCCAGGTGGCTGGAGGCCGGGGTGCCTGCAGGCACACGTGTGTATGTATCCGTGTGTGGAGGAACTACAGGCACTTTCCCCCGAGCCTCTGGCAGATTGTTTTTAACGTATAAAATTACTTGTCAGGCAGACTTTTTTTCCTCTTAGTTCTCACAGGATAGAAACAACAGTGTTACATAACACGCATCAGAGCTGGTTTTGCAGAGCATCTGACCAAATCTGGGGGTGGGCATGGTGCACATCATGGCTAAGAGCCTCAGAGGCTAGAGTTCTGGGCAGGATGCTGGGTGAGGGTGTGGGGAGTAGAGTCATTCTTCTTAAATGGGATTGCGCAAAGGGCTGAAACTGGAGCGTGAACCCTGGGGTCCTTGCTTGCCCGCATCTCTCTCCATCCACACTGTGATCATGATGGTCCAGCCCTTCATCTCTTGCCTGGTCTCTAGAAGTAGCCTCCTAACTGGTCTTCCCACTGCCAACCTTTTCTTGTCCAGTATGTTGACTTTAGAGCTCTGTAGACGTGTAAATGTGATTCATTCACTTCCTTCTCTTAAATGCATTATAAGTTCCCCTCAACTGAACTTCCTTGCATCATAACATCAAGTCCTTCGTAAGCATCAACTGTCATTCAAAGTCTGGGTTCTGCCTACTTTTCCAGTCTCCTTCCTTGCCCCTGTCCAACCTTGAACTTCAGCCCCACTGAACTACTTGCAGGTCCCCAGATGCATCACGCTGTGCTGACATTTTTTTTTTTTTTAATTGTATTTTAGGTGAAAGTTTACAGAACAAATAGTTTCTCATTAAACAGTCAGTACACACATTGTTTTATGACATTGGTTAACAACCCCACGACATGTCAACCCTCAACCCTCTCCCTTCTCAACCTGTTTTTTTTTTTTTTGGTGAAAATATGCATAACCAAAGATAGGCCATTTCAAAAATTTCTACATGCACAGTTCAGTGACATCGATTACGTTCTTCTAGTTGTGCTGCTATTCTCCCTTTAGATGAAGGTTTACAGAACAAAATAGTTTCTCATTAAACAGTTAATACACATGTTGCCCTATGACAATGGTTAACATCCTCACTGCGTGTCAACACTGTCCTTACTCAACCTTGGGTTCCCTAACACCAGCTTTCCTGTCCCCTTCTGCCTTCTAGTCCTTGTCCCTGGACTGCTGTGCCTCATTAGTCCCATTTTGTTTTATGGGGCTGTCTCATCCCTGGCTGAATGATGAACCTGAGAAGTGCCTTCACCACTGAGCTAAAAGGCTGTCCAGGGGCCATACTCTCAGGGTTTCTCCAGTCTCTTTCAGGTCAGTAAATCTGGTCTTTTTTTTGTGAGTTAGAATTTTGTTCTACATCCTTCTCCAGCTCTGTCCAGAACCCTGTGTTGTGATCCTGGTCAGAGCAGTAAGTGGTGGTAGCAAGGCACCATCTAGCTGTACTGGACTCAGTCTGGTGGAGGCCTTGGTAGCTGTGGTCCATTAGTCCTTCGGACTAATCTTTTCCTTGTATCCTGTTCTC